TTTTTATAACACTTGCCAAAAGCAGTAATGTGTCTAGGCTATGCTAGCACTAGTGGAATTTCCAGAACAAGTGTGGTAATAATTTTTTAGTACTTTGTTCTATACAATCAAACCTGGATATTGTGTTTAGTTTTGTGCTTCATACAAAGAACCATTATTAAGATATCAGAGATAGTTAGTATAGACCGAGCAAGAATAAGATGGTGAATGATCTAGAAATATTAATAATGTTCAATGAATACTTGGACGGATACATCCCAGGTCTGTAATACATCCTTCCTGTGTGCAGATACCAACACAAGTTCTCTTTAGAGAAAATATCTTCACCTTGACCTTTCCAGGATTCCCACATATTAAATGAAATACGCATATTATCTCACAATGAAAGATCACCAAATACATAAGGAAGCAATCTACTATGAATGAGAGTCAGCAGAAACAACAAACAGATTTAGTATATGAAAAACATCAGATATTGGTATCATTAGAGATACAATATAAAATAACCGCTGATGGAATCTTTAAGGATATAAAAGAAGGAAACAGAAAAATGAGAAACCAATAAGAGACTTTCATGGCCAGGCATCAGTTCTGACCATAACAACTTATTTTGGACTAATCTGCCTGCCAGAAACAACTGCTACACTGTCTGAAGACACTGAGAACAATCAGCACCAGCAGGATCTAAGAGACTACAGTCATTTAGAGAAGGGAAGCATGTGAAGTGAGCAACAAATTCGTCCTGGCTTTTTCCGTTAAGGCATTTTTCAGATTGGCATGCAAAAGAATACAGCCTAACCAGAAGCAGCAGTGTTTCTAGGCTGAAGACAAACACTGGGGTAAAGTCTGGAGATGCTCTGTGGCTAGAGTGCGAAGGGCAAAATCCTAGAGGGGAGGAATTGTGGAGAATGAACCCCAAAGCCTGGATACAAATTCCTGACAACTCATTAGCGAGTGCCTAAACTGTTCTTGTACAGGGTGCCTTTAAGAAACCCAAACATAAACCACAGCTGGGAGAGTAAAGAGCTAAACAGAGATCGTTTTTTAATTACCCTATATTTTCTTTCACATTTAATTCTTTTAATGTGTAATAAATTGATTTTTGTATAGGGATCCATTCTCATTTTAAAATGTGAATAACTGGCTTGGCGCCTGTGGCTCAAGTGGCTAAGGCGCCAGCCACATACACCTAAGGTGGCGGGTTCGAATCCCCAGCCCGGGCCCGCCAAACAACAATGATGGCTGCAACCAAAAAATGGCCAGGCGTTGTGGCGGGCGCCTGTAGTCCCAGCTACTTGGGAGGCTGAGGCAGGAGACTCGCTTGAGCCCAGGAGTTGGAGGTTGCTGTGAGCGTGATGCCATGGCACTCTACTCAGGGGGACAGCTTGAGGCTCTGTCTCAAAAAAAAAAAATATGAATAACTAATTTTCCTAGCACAACCTAGCTCATTAATTTTTAGCCACTTACTATCTGCTGTGTGCCAGTGCCAGGCCTTTGAACCACACACACCCTGTGGATTGTTTTGAATGGAAGGTCCTGAATACTAGGGATTCATTTAGGAAATAAAATTTACCTGGTAAGACCGGGTGCAGTGGCTCATGTTTGTAATCCTCACACTGTAGAAGGCTGAGGCAAGTGGATTGCTTGAGCTCATGATTTCAAGACCAGCCTGAGGAAAGGCAAGACCCCATCTCTAAAATAGCGGGGGTTGTGGTGGGAGCCTATAGTCCCAGCTACTCAGGAGACTGAGGCAAGAGATTCACTTGAGCCCAAGACTTTGAAGTTGCTATGAGCTATGACATCATAGCACTCTACCAAGGGTGACAAAGTGAGACTGTCTCAAAAAAAAAAAAATTATCTGATAAAAGTATTTAGGGGGACTACTATGGCAACCAAAGCTACTTTGGAAGAGGAAGAGAACAGTGGTGCACAGAAAGCTGTCATAATTCAGGCCAGTAGAAAGAGTTGGATCCAAGAAATATATTGTGGAGGTAGAAATATTCATCCAGCAAACATTTGTCAAATTACTACCTATAATTTTGCCAGGTATAAAGTGTTCCCATGTATAATGGGCATCCACGTTTTTGGCCCAAACTTTCAAGAAAAAAATCTTTTGCTTTGTTTTTTAATTCTAATTTGTATTTGTTTATATTTACATACTTTTTTAATATTATGAAGTCATTTTAGCATTTATTTTTTAACATACTGTGCTACAAGATTTATACTTTTGACACATAAGCATAATTAAAAGAATTTAAAACGTTTACATAAATACAGAATTAGTACTATGTATGGTGTGCATCCTTATTTTCCCCTCAAAAATCTGAGTGAAAAAGTACACATTATACATGGAAAGTATTGGTATGTAGTCATGATTCTGGAACTAGAGATGATGTGAAAAAATGAATCATATATGTGTGCTGTAGATAGGTGCTCTCAGTATATATCCTGTTTAGCTTCATTTCCCTTTATTTAGTGAACCTTTCTGATACATTAGATGTCAAATATTCTTTTCAAGTATTGTCTATCCCACTTAATTCTGGTATGTGTGAATGCAGATATGTGCTCAGTATTCATGTATATATGCATGCATTCATTCATTCAACACGTTAAAACTACCATATAAAAGGTACTGTGTTAGGCTTTGGAATACAAAGATTAAAGAGTTATTTCCTGCTATTAAGTTATTTTCAAAGATCACGGATGAAGGCTACGTGCAGTGACTCACACCCATAATCCTAGCACTCTGGGAGATCAAGGCAGGTAGATTGCTTGAACTTAGGTGTTTGAGATTAGCCTGAGCAAAATGAGACTCTGTCTATACTAAAAATAGAAAAATTAAACAGGCATGGTGGCAGGTGTGTAGTCCCAGCTACTCAGGAGGTTAAGGCAGGAGGACTGCTTGAGCCCAGGAGTTTGAGGTTGCAGTGAGCCAGATTGATGCCATGGCACTCTAGCCTGGGCAACAGAGGGAAATGCTGTCTCAAAAAAAAAAAAAAAAAGATCATGGATAAAGACATAAAATAATAATCAAAGCAG